AACAGGTCGAGAAGATCCTTATGCCATACAGATTGAATATGTGCAAGGTTATGTATTTATTTTGTTGTGTTTGGGGGCAGGATAAGGGGTCCTGGAGGTGGGGGCTCATCAGAATCTCACCTAGGGGGCCAGAACACCCAGGACTGGCCCTGCTCTGGAAGAGCCGCCTCACATTAGTGCCAATCCCACCACCAACCCCCAAAATATTTCCCTTTAATTAAGTTGGAGGACCGCTTGCTGGGCCGGCTGCAGTTTAACGTCATACCCACAGTCCCAGGATCCCCCTCAGTCCCAAAACATGCTGAGGTTAATTGGAGTTGCCAAATTGCCTGGATGGGTGCATGTGTGAGTGAAAGCTGAGTGCAATGGGTTGGCACCCAGTCTTGGGTTCTTCCCTGCCTTGCACCCATGCTTTCCGAGAGGCTCTGTCACAGAGTGAGCCGTGATGCTTATGCAAGCAGGCAGCACACAGGCAGCCATGTGCCGGCAAACTTAAATATCTCAGCTGACCTGTCGCTTGTGAGCCACTATTCCCATTATCTTCACTGTGTTTTAATGGTTATTACCAAAGATGTATTTACAGGAGCATAGGGGGCATCTGGGGGTGCAAGGCGGTTTTGTGATATTGTTTATTTTGTAATTGTGTGTTTGATTTATTATTATTATTTATTATTTATTATTAACAGTGTTGTTGTTTAGTTAATTGATTTCTGATTGTTAATTGTTTTGGTAATGGTTCCTCTGGTGGGTGGTTAGGCTCCAAGGCCTCAGTTTGAGGAGGGTTCATGATGGGCTCCTGCAGAGGGCCACTGGGCCCCTTCGCAGTGAGCCTCCGCACTGGGCTCCTGCAGAGGGCCACTGGGCCCCTTCGCAGTGAGCCTCAGGAGGCCATCGATTAGCTTAAATTACCAAAGTGTGTTACTGCTGGGAACCAAACGATGCATTTAGCCTTTACCTTCCTGGGAAACCTGTCTCCCGCAGAGTGTCTGATTTCCAATTTTTTTTTTATGACAAGTCTGCAAAGGTTCATACTGTATATCTTAAGGAGATATATGGTGCATCTGTAATATTTAACCACGAATAAGTGATGTGTAAATATGTGTAAATGAGGTGCACGTCTCACCTTGTGAACTGTTGTAACAGCAATAAAAATATAAGAAGTTAAGCTGCGTTTCGCTATTAACCATTAAGAAACTTATGCTACCAACCAACCAACCAGAGGCAAAAATCACACGGTTGTGAAAATGATGAGACTATGGCCTATTACTGAATGACATATGCACATATATGTAGGAGAATTACAGCTCGGAAGAGAATCTCAAACAAAGAGTGAAACGTTTACACTTATATAACCAAAACTGACATCATAAATGAGTACAGCTCATTTGTTTGTTCTCAGGGTGGGGCATTTTGTTTAGATTTGTTGCCATGCATGGTCATGCTTCCAGCAAGATGAGGAGGGCCCCCCCCCCAGATATTTCTGGGGCCCATTATAAGAAGCTTACAGCAATTTATACTCTTGTTTACCTGAAGTTTTTGGCGGCACCACCCTGAAAATGTGATTTTGGAAGCTAAATAGGGTCGACCCTGGATAGTACTGTGATAGGAGGCCACCTGGGAATATTAGGTACTGTAAGGACACTGGGCTGGTGGCACAATGGATAATGCACATGACCATGAAAGAGAGGATTCTAGGTCTGACTCCTGCTCAGCTCAGACATCTCCATTTTCGAGGGGCAGACCACGGGCTCAGAGCCCAATCTTTGCTCCTACCCATATGTGTGTGTATCTCACAGGGAGCGACATGGCATATGTTGTACATGTCTGCAAATGGCAAATCAAGCACAGAATTTAATCTCAAATAACAAATGAAATAACAAATAACAAATTGCATGTAATAAGCTCTTTAATAAGAAGATTCAAATCAGAAAAAACAAGTGAATCTCATTGTAATTTTATCTCTTTCATTTCAATGTTTAATATTCTTAGTAACCATTCCTTTTGAACCATTGTGCTCTGGCCACAACATCGTTGGAATAGTCATCGCCAGTGGTTCCCACATCTAGGCGCTCGTAAGTCCTGACATTCTTGCTTCCAAAATTGTATGCAGCAATTCCTCCTGAAACGATCAAATCAAATTTATTGTGCTTTGGTTCCTGAGAACTTTATTCAGTGAATCAATCAGGGACATTAATAGCAATAAGTTTTATAGGGTGCTTGTTATTACCATTATGCAAAACACATTTGCTATTTTCATTTAACATAAATACTGTGCACATCCACTAAACTGAAAATCTGTTCTTGAGTAACATACTGTACCTTTAAAAATGTGCTCTTTCGGCCAGCTTGGAAATTTAGCCTTGATCTCATTGATTGAATCAATCAGAATCTGTGTTCCCTGTCTGACGTGCTGCTCACTGTTCCACCCTCCGACTGGTGTGTGATGTCGCTTGTCAACCTTGTCAAACACAGAATAATTTGCTTGATTTTAATTCTTTGTGTGCAAGCGCATGTTGGATATTATGCATCAAATCTAAACTTTATAGCTTGTGAATCACGAAAAACATTATATTAAGTTAACATCAAACACAATTTTCAAAGGATGACCCATGTACAGCAAATATTTAAATTTAATGTAATTCGTGTTTTTTTTTTACTTTCATCTATAAGAGAGGAAGAAGTTGTGACTGGCAGCTGTGTTTCCATATTACTTCAGGCTAGACTGATGCTGTCAGCTCAAATTGTAAACTGAAATAAGTGCTGAAAGGTTCATTTCGGAGGTTTACGCCCACCTGCATCAGTCCGAATCCATTTCCATGGTCACCCCAGCCATCAGTTAATGCAGCCCCAGCTCGAGACTCGCGAGAAATGATGCCACAGATGACAGCCGCGTCCATCTTCAGTTCACTTCCCACCTTCTTAATCAGCGCCTTGTAGTTGTTCATCCTGGTTGAGTCATTCTTGGCAAGTTGGTTGGAAGCCTCCACACCTTTCATAAAAGTACAGTTTTTTTCATTTTGTCACATGACACTGTTCTCAACACACACTACGGTACACAACACACAAACACACCAACCAGACTTCAGCGGTATTAAGGTAATAATGTATTCTATCCATCCATCCATCCATCCATCCATCCATAAACCCCCTGTACCCGCTTGTCCTATGCAGGGTCATGGGGGTCCACAGCTTATCCTGAAAACTACAAGCACATTTCAGGGAATAATGTAGGATGGGGAGCAAGCCCATTGCAGGGTACACTGACACACAAACACAGGGCTGGTCAATCTCATAGGCAACACAGACGGCCGCCTAGGGCGCCAACTTCTGTTTTAAATTGTCAGACGCCTAGGTATTGTTTCCTCTATCCGAATGCAGAATCGCAAAAAGCCTACGCGTCGTGTAAAGGACTTACCGAGATAACGGGCTAAATTGTTAACCTCGCCGTTCTCTGCCGATGTAATTCAATGGTGCAATTTCCTTTGCTCGTTTGCGAAGTTATTGCTGCTGCCGGGCCTGAGAACGGCGCATCTGCTGATCCATATTTTACAATCCTACATAAGACTAATCTGATGGCGTTCCTATTAAACAACGTTCTCAGGATGCTTTGCCTTTAGTCAACTATTAGTCGAATTGTCAAATGTGCAGCAAGAATGTAAAAATTCCTTATCCAATAAACTAAATGTTTGCAACGCAGAATCACGGGAAATTTTACATCTCCAAGGTATAAAAGTGGGGTTTGTTGTGAGCATAAAAGACATACATACCAACCTGTGGGCTTTACAGTCACACCCTATATAACTACAGTTTATAAAATGATCGTATTTTCTACGTACCATGAACAGTAAGTTTGTCTTGTTTAGCTGTTTTATCTGATGCGCCTGTGGTGTCAATCTTCATAACATCGCCGTAAATGCAAGCTGAATGGGAAATAACAGAAAGAGAAAACATTACTTTCGGTTTTCAATGATGATGGGGGGTGCACGGCTCCACTTTCACGTCCCTAGTTCCCCTTTTCGATCAGCGACGGTCATCCAAGGGGCACCTCTGTCCGCGCGCTTCTGCCCCTCAAAAGTCTCTGCATTCTTTCTCAAAGCAACAGTTCATTATAAACATTTACTGCGTGTGTCGTAATAACAAAAAGAAGCAACGGAATTACACATAACTTGTATCAAGGAAATAAGGAAATGTATTATATTTAATTGTATTTTATTGTCACAGCATGAAGTGAAACGTACGTTTGACGATGCACTGTGCAATACTTACCCATGGTGATAGGATTTGTCTTTCAGGATTCCTGCTCTGTGCATAAAACTTCTTCAAACTGCACAAACCCTCTCTTTAAATACCGTTGTGACAATAACATTACGCAACATTGATAAATCACTCCAGCCAATGAGATGATCGTATTCTTTTAGGTTAAACAGGGAAGTACTGTAGTCAACAGGTCTGTCTGCATTTTCCCGGCCGCAAAGGTTGTTCCCGTAACAAGTGTATTTTTTCTTCCTTACAGTTAAGTTATTTGGAGGAATCTGGCACAGTAATGAAAGGTTCAGCATATACAGTAGCATTTTTAAACAATGTTAAGCAAGTATTGTTGCGATTAATACGCCTTTAACTGAAGGTTAAATGTAGAGACATATCCATCCATCCATCCAT